TAACGGTAAATTTCAGAAATGCTTGAAACTTCAATATTTCGAAATTGAAGGACGCTAATTTACTCAAAATTGATACACCCCGGCTTACCATCTAGCGGAAGGTTTCGGAAAGGTGAAAAAACATATTTAATACTTGCGCCGGGTATTTAATGTTCGGCTCCGCCCGAACTTAGACTTTCTTACTTGTTTTAACTAAATTTGTTTTACCTAAACAATGGCACCGGATATGCTTGCGCTGGGCACATCAATGTAGCGCTTTGTCCGCTTGCTACTTTTGGTATTTTGATAGCATCATCACCAGCAGTCATTTTGGGACTAACGCTGCCAACTGGCTCTAAACAAATGTAAAAATGCCTGTCATTAAAGGTAAAACTCTGAGCGATTGAATTGAAATTCGGCTGAATGTTGGCATAGCTCCGCGAATTCACTTATAAAAGCACACAGTTTTAGCTCAAGACGAGACTTTTTTTCCTACCTAAAAACTGGAACTGGATATGCTTGAGCTGGACAGAGTAGGGTCACACTATGCATCAATGGCACGCGTATGATTTTGATGTTTTCTTCATTGGCGAAAATTTTGGGACTTACAGAGCCAACAGGTTCTAAAATGTAAAGGAAGCGCTAATTACTGCCAACATCGATTTCTATAAGATTTAAGTTGCTTGAAACTGATGTTGGGATACACGTACACTGGAGATAGTATACATTTATAAATTTGTATGCCACTTAATATAACTTGATAATACGCGGTCTGGATACAATTTAATATTATTATTAATTTCAAAATTTTACCTAAATAAAGGCACCGGATAGGCTTGCGCTGGACAAAGCAGTGTAGCACTTTTAGTATAATCAATTTTTACAATACGCGACTCATCACCGGAGGTAAGGCGAGGACCAACGCTACCAACAGGTTCTACGGAGAGGATAGACATGAGATCAATTAAAAGTTATGAATTCTTCAGCAAAGCAGGCGGAGATTTTCAATAATAAAGCCCAGATGTTGGAATAGGTTTAACCCTAAAATCAAATTCCTATTTTTTCATACATAAAGCAAGCACGTTATCGACTCGACGGGGAAGGCAATAATTCTAGGGTTAAATGGCCAACGCTACTTCAAGAGATTAAAACCGAAAGATTTATGTATGTATATGCGCTTACCGAAAAATTGGCACCGGATAAGCTTGCGCGGGACAAAGTAGCGTCACAGGTTTGCCACCAGGTGTGATTAAAACCTTTATATCATTACCAGAAAGTAGGCGCGGCCCAACGCTACCAACGGGTTCTAGAAAAAAAAAACAATAAAACATAACCAAACGATAAGTATCTACAGTCAGAGAAAATAGCAAAGGTACGAAAACTGTTTTGATTGCTGAAGTGGAGTACTCACACGACAATGATTTTAAACGCGCTTAGCAATGACAGCTTGGGCGCGTCTGACGCTAAAATGTACGTAAATACATAAATTAAGTTATTCAACTAATACTCGTAGCTAATCAACTAAAGCCCACCTAAACATTGGCGCCGGGTAGGCTTGCGCTGGGCATAGAAGCGTGACGCCCGCTTGCGCCTTCGCCGTAAAGCTGCTGCTCGTTTGCACAGTGGGAAATTTCGGTGAAACCCTGCCAACCGGTTCTGTAAAATGAATTTTTAATTGTATTTTTTATGGTTTGAAAAACTTCTGGGTGTCTTTTGTAGAGAAATACTAATTAATTGACATTATAGTTAAGTATATTAATTTAAAATTAATTATGTAAGCACACTTACCTTACATTTTAGCAAATGTTCGCTTATGATTAGAGAACAAATTTCAAGTGTTTTATTATTTTGACATTTCGTCATTATTGCGCTTAGCGTGCAGTGGCTCAAGAAATAACTTGATAGCTTTAGAGTGTGGCAAAATTTACAGTTACAAGTATTTATGTACGTCAAAACGCTCCATGTATTCAAGCTCAAGTCAAGCACAGTTTTTTTTTGGGATTTTAAAGTTTTTTCGTTTCAAATTTTAAGTATTTAAATTTATAATTAAAATTTAATTTTAATTGTTGAATTTGCATTAGATCGCGCAACAGTTTACCCTATCCCAACATTCAGGCAGTTTTCAATGCAGGCTAAGTTAGCAACAATTTTTTGATGTGCGCGATTTTTAAGTTTAATATATTTTGTTTTACATTTTTAAGACACAAAAACTATTAATTTTGTTTTTTAAATGTACGATTTAATCTTCTTCAGAGCAAATGGTTACGGTTCCCGGTTTAATATTTGTAAGTATTATTCGCACAACAAATGTGTATAATAACTCCTTTAGTAATACATATTGACATTTTTTCGTAGCAAAGAAAAAGATTTTAAGCAAAAAATCTTTTTGATTGCTTTTTTATTTGTATTTCTTTATCAAAAATTTGTTGCTATTTATATTTCATATAACTTATTGCTAAAATTTGCTATTGAGCTGTCGAAACTTTTTGCAGAAAATTTTATTAAAATTCAAATTTTGACAGCTCAATAATTTTTTCACTACACTAGCAAGCAAAAATAGCATTTTTAAATAAAAGATACATTATGTAAAAAAATTATATTCAGCTTATCTTTTTCCAAGTAAAATTATTTCAAAATTGTTGACATTAGCGGAAATTCCACACTTCTTTACCAACAAATCATTCAATTTTTGTTTTAATTCATATTGTAAATTTTTTTTTATTTAAAAGTTTTTGCATTTTTCAGTAATTTTTTCTAAGAAAATATATTTTAAAGTTTAACTCTGATATTTTGCTATTTTTGCTTCAAATCATTTAAAAAAAGTATCTGAGGACATTACACATTCAATTTTGTAAAATTTTATAAAGTAGTTGATAAAACGATAAAGTAAAAATATATATTTCCGAACTTCAACATTTTAATGGCGGTGTTTCAAAGCATTCGGGGAATATTTATAATTTTTATTTTGTTTTTAACAAGTTTTTGAAGTAATGATTGAATGGTAATTTCTTGCACCAAAAATATACACACATACATATGTTATATGTGCTCGTATTTAATAATTTATTTAAACGCAATCTGTAGTTTGCGCCATATTTCCTTTATTTTTTACTTTTATAAGCACAAAAGTAAAAATTTTAAGTTTTATCGAATGTTCGCAGATACATTTTTTTTTCTAAAAAAAAACATTTTACCAAAATAATTAGAAAATAAATCAAATGTTTTCTGTCGTCAACTAAGTTTTTATATATGGATGAACATATTTACGCATTTTAATTAAAGTTATAGCTCACTCAAGTGGAAAAAGTATCCAAAATCTCGAAACAGAATTTCAAATTTTGTGTTTTCAACGCATCGAAATACACATAGTATTTTAATGGTAAAATTTTTTCCAAAATCTCGAAATTTTCGAAACGCTTTTTAAACTGTCTGTTAAATTTTTTTAACAGAATTTCAAATTTTGGTTCAACGTTTCGAAATACTATGTATTTTAATGGTAAAATGCTTTTTTGGTTGTTTTATGTAAAAATTTAGCTCTCATAAACAGAATTTTTTTCTCAACCATTATAAAAGCATAATTAAAGTTGTGAATTGTTGGTTTCAGTTTACTCTCTTATTTTTTTAAATTAAAATACATAATTATGAGAATCATAATGAATAAAACTTATGGTGCATTTACATGGTATGAATCTGTTCATAAGCCGTATGAATTTNTTGACATGTATGTGAATGGCGGAGTTGCCGCTTTCCTCCTTTTCGGTGGGTTTTTATATTAAAAAGGCATCAAAATGGGAAAAACCCCCCTTGGTATCTCTGCATCTGTTAAACTTTTTATGGGAAGATGTATGAAAATTCAACTTGCTATAATTTCATATGCTTAACAGTATCACAACAGTATGTTTACAGTATCTCCCCATAACTTTTCATATGAAAAAAATTATTATATGCATCCCACTCGATATCATTGAATTCCTCATTAGAACATGTAGTCCCTCTATTTTAGCGTATCAACAGTTCATATGGCTTCATACCATGTAAATGCGCCATTATTTTTAAATTTTTATTTTTGCCGAAAAGCATGAATATTTTGATTGCACATTTTTGATTTTGCAAATAATGTAGTTTAGTGAAGTTATAAGTTCACGATTGCAAGTATTAATATCTTTTTATATATGTATACATATCACACGTTTAATAATATAGAGATTTCATCATACAATTTATAAGCTTGATAAGGAGAAAATGTTCAGCCTAACAGATGGCGAAGATACGTGTCTTTCCATCTGTCTTTTAGTATACGAAATGTATGAATTGAACACACTTTGATTGTGTTTTCCCACAAATCTTAAATTTTGAAATGATTCTGTATATTAATGAACGTGTGTAAGTACACAAAGATCGTTGATGAAATGTAGAGAGGCCCCCTAACAGGCATTTTTTTCGAAATACGATTTTTTGGTTTTCTAAATAAGTAGCTTATACTCAATCAAACACATTCTCTTTAAAAAATGTTGGAACCGCGAATTAAAACTCAACGATTTTATGACACATTTCAAAAAGCCCCAAGCAGAGAAATGTGTGTGTTTTAGTTTTGCTCTACTGTTAAATGTCAGTTAGGGCCTTTCTATATTTCAGCAGCATACATATGAATGTACATAATTAAAGTGAGAGCTAAATTTTTGCAAAATATTTCACAGTTAAAATCAATTTACATACATGCTTAGATTCACTCCATTTTTGAATTCGTTTTTTTTTGTTTTTCTTATTTTGTTAAATATATATTTTTTCGTCATTTTTGGTCATGCATTTTGAATAAATATGTACGTATGTATATGTATATAACATTTTGACTGTGCAATATATTTAAAAATTTTTTTTAAACTAAATTTTTATTCATTAATGCAAATACGCTTAAATCTTACAACTTACCGGTAATCACCAAGCGTCCCTTGGTTGCGCTCAAACGTGTTTCGCCAGTCAGACGATGCTTGGTGCGGCACTGATAGCTCTTGTAGCCATCCTCAGGTCCAACTTCGCGAATATGCAGTTCACCAGAGGGTAACACCAAATATTTGCCATCTAATAATTTTGCACACATAGCGCATACGTGTGGATTTGTAGGTTTAGAGAGAGAATGAAAGAAATAAAAAACATTAGAATGCAATTCAAAGGCGTTGCAGAATTTTTACACAAACACATAAAAAACTACACTTTAAATAACGAGAAAGCTTTTACATCCAATTTTAAAAATGATTTATTACAAGTCGAATTCATACAAAGTAATAATACCACAGCAGCTGATTTCAAGGCGAATTGAGATGTTTGTTAAAATGATGTGTTTGCTGTACATTTTTTGTGTTCTGATTGTCGTCGTGCGTTGAATTTGTTAGTGTAGTTTTTGGTTTTTGTCCTGCCGCTATCACCTTGTATGAATTGCCTTGATGTATTACATTGAAGAATTCAAACTAGTGTGAGATTGCTTTTTTCTAACAATTTGCAGTATTTTATTAAAATTACTTATGTAGATAATTTTTTAAAACTTGCTCGTATTTATGGCTAGCTTGTTTTATTAAGCATGCATTTAGAGTTAGTATTCTATTGAAAAACTGTGTGCATTTTTTTGAATTATATTTATGTAGGTAGACACCGTAGTTACTTGTGTCGATTTTACAAAAAAAAACATTAATTTCACCGGGAACTTTTTTTATTATTTAGTTTTTTGCGCTTCCTTTTTAATTTAGTCAAATTCAAATGCAACACAGTTCTTCAAAAAATTTAAAATATATAATATAGCAGACAAGCTTGAATTAGAATACAATAAATTTTTTTACTTTGAACAAATTTCTAATTTTTCGAACTTAAAGATCTTTTTCATGAGCTTTCGTAGGAATTTGAGGATGTAGTCTGACGTCCAGGCGTCAAAAAATACGTAAAAAAACTAAAAAAAAAAAACTTAAAAAACACATTAGAAAACAATCTAGATTCTGGAATATGTCGCCAGCGCTCGGGTATAATTGGCATTAGTATTGAAACTTATGTGGGGTACGGTTTAGTTATTTGAGCAACGATTTTCTGTTTGAAATATGGAATTTTTTGGCAAATTTCCGAGCAAAGCTGTCAAACAAGAAACATCTACGAAATATCTCTGCAAAAGGTGTTCAGCCCCTATTCTTCGGCAACACAGAAAGAAGAATTCTACTTAGTGAGGATTATAATCCTTTTGCATAAAATCCAATTCCCCTATTTTCAAACAGCTCCCCAAGAGGTTTGGGTGGTGTTGGGGACAGGGGTGACTTTTCATAAAATGCGGTCCATCCTTTCGTTTAGAGCAGGTTTGGGAGGCCACGCCCACCTCCCTCTCCGCCCTCACCACAGAATCGTACAAATAACTAAACATTTGCCCTTATTTCTCCGATTGTATATCTTCCAACCGCGGTGAAAGTAAATAGTCAGTAAAGTAATTTTAAGAATATTTCATTTTAGCATTAAGAAATTCTTTAATAAGGCGGAACACCAGCTACATCCGTAACCGTGCTTTACTTGCCGGAAACGCACCTAACGATTTCTTGTAAAATGGCGCCCAACTTTTACTTAATTTAACACAAATCGCCCACCACACAAGTTGCGGATATTCACTTTTCTTAACTTTAATGCGTTTACGTTACAAAGTGTTTAATTCACTACTTTTTACTTTTATTCACTATTTATTGTACTTATAAAAATACACAACCAAATTGATTTTAGATCTTTCGCCATGATTATAATAGGGATGACAGGAAGTCGATTATTTCGATAGGCGAGTTTGCCCTTGCATAAGGTACCGCATACACGTTAAGTCGTCACTCAATCAATCAGAAGACGATGGAAGTTGAATTTAAGTAATTTTTCCCTACTTTTGATTAAAATAAATTTGTTCAAAGCAAATGAAGCGATTATTTTGCAAAGCTTACATACATGTATATAAACGTCGCCAGCATGCTTTGAAGCGACCAACAAAAATGCCAATAAAGTGCATTCATTCACGTTTTTATACATAATTGTTTTTAAATGCCAAACATGTATATACATACGAATATTTTTTTACAGTTTGCTATACGTTTTCAGTTTATATTTTAAGTAATAGGTTATCTTCTGGTTATTAGCATTTTTGTTACAAATATTTACATTATAATTACAAAATCTACAAATTTTTACTACATGAAGGGGGATTTCCTCGGGTACTGGCAGGCTGGATGGGCCCATGGCGTAAATGGATGACAACGGGGGGATTGAGGAAATGGGAAGGAGCAAAATAAATGCAACAAAAAAGTAAAAAATTAGCGTTTAAACGGAAAATAAGATAAATAGGAGTTGTGATTCGATAAAACAATTGAAGATGAAATAAGAAAAAATAGATAAAGCAAGAGAAAAAAGCAGAAAGAAAACGCGAAATACCTAGTGATCCTAGACAAACCCTTTCAAGATGGATCAAAGCGACGGCAGACTCATAGTTTGCGGAACAATAAATAGTATGTGTGTTTGGTGGTAACAGGATAATGAACGGATTTTTTAACAGAAATAAATTATGCATTTTCATTAACTACTGAATATTGAATACTAAAAACCTCAGCGCCATTTACCGCTATCAAAGTGTCCGATGCCATCGTTTGTAGTGAATATTTCGCGTTCTTCATCTTCCACCCATGAGGCGACCGATATGAAATCCGCTACAAAACTTGGTATATGACATTTGAGTATGGCGCTATTGCCGCGCAAAACAGCCTCATCCATGACATTTACCGTATGGGATTGTGGAACGACTGTGTGTGTATTGATAGCCATCATATGCAGCAATAAATTGTAGAAAAAGAGGAGTATAATAAAAGAGACAATGAAGGGCGTTTGGCATAAAAGGCGTATAAAGAAAGTAGTAAAAATAATAAATATTAAAAAATTAAATTAAAAATATGTGTCACATATTGGCTTTCGGGAAATTTTTGATGGCAGCTAGGAAATTCCCTTCGAACTACTTAAGTGGAATAATACAGAAATTTAAAGTTGTTAAAAGCGAAATGTGTTCTCTATACTGTACCAGCGCTGTTTTTTGTGTAAGTGCCACCTTCAGTGTCAACCCAGTCGACAATATCTATATGATCGGCGACAAAAGATGGTGTTTGACATTTAAAGATAGCGGCATTTCCCTTAATAACGTATTCATCATAAACTTGTGATTCAAAAAATTGTTTGACAACTGTAAACGAAATGTAACAGCAAATGGAATTAGGAGTCATGAAATTGTAAACAAGATGTGTATGTAAGGAAAGAATTTTAAAACAAAATGCAATGGCGCACAGATGATAGGACATTTTAAGGCAAAGGAGAAGAGAATCTTGGAAAAAGTACTGGTATTTTTTATTGCACGGGCTCAAAAGATTTTGCGACGTTTAAACGGCTTTACTGACTACTTTTTATTTAGAAACATTTTAGTTTTCATTCAGAAAAATTACCCATCACTTCATCGCCTTGTGTACGCACAAATTCAACGCCCTCCTCATCCACCCACGATTCTACATTTATGAAATCGGCCACAAACGAGGGCACTAAGCATTTGAGTGTTGCAGAGTTGCCACGCAAAACAAATTCATCAATTACGCGCGTTTGATAAAACTGATGTACCACTAAATTAAAACGAAATCCAATAGCGTGTAAGAACATAAAATATTAAATGAAATGAATGGGAAGTGAAATAGTTTGCTATAAGAAACACGCCGGAACATGCGAAACGTTCGTAAGTATTGCCAAAACATTTGCGCTATACCAATTTCTTTATCGCTGCCTGGATAGTAATTTCTGCCCTCAGAGTCCAGCCATAGATCAACAAAGACAAAATCTGCCACATAAGATGGAATTTCACATTTCATTACCACCGAATTTCCGCGGATGACATACTCATTATCGGCTTCAGATTCATAACTTTGAATGACAACTGCGTGATAAGCGAATGCGTGAAAGAATTTGTTAAATGAATAACATACGAAAAAGTAAAAAAGAACAGAAAATTTTATAAAATAGGAATGAAAGAGAGTTGCGTGGGATTTGTTGGGAAGCTACATAAAAAAAAAAAACTTGAGAACATTATACACGCAACTAAGCGAAAAAGTTTGACATTCAAGCAAATACCATAAGCTTGCGAGGAATTGCTACGCCACAATTCCACACCTTCCTCATCGACCCAAGCTTCGATCTGCACAAAATCGGCAACGAATGAGGGTATTTTACATTTCACCACCGCCGCATTGCCTTTGATTACATATTCATTCTCTGCTTCGGTTATGTAAAATTGAGAGACAACTGTTGAAACAAAAGTGAAAAGTTAAAAAAAAAAACAACGCAACAGAACAAATTAAAAAGAAATCTGGAAAAACGGAAAGCTAGGAAGGAAATTTGAGGAAACTGTTTAATTAATGAAATCTTGACTACCAAAACCCGCTTAAACATATGAGCAAATAAATCGAACCATAATTATCGGAGAACGTCAACGCATTGCCATCTTCATCGATCCACGATTCAACGCGCACAAAATCGGCAACAAACGAAGGTATGGAGCACTTGAGCACGGCGGCGTTGCCTTTTATAACATACTCAGTCATAATTTCCGCCTCATAGAACTGATTAACGACTACAAAAGAGATGAGCGAAACCAATGTAAATAGCGAATCAAATCAGAAGTGGGATAGTAAAACAATATATATTTTTTAATTTTTAAGGAGTAACTGCGGGATCACAGGAAAACTATTTTTAAATTAGTAAGCAATTATTGCGCTACTAGTAATTTTTTAAGTAGTCGCTAATGCCAACCATAATTATCGCTGTGTCGTAAAACGTTGCCCTCTTCATCGATCCACGATTCGACGCGCACAAAATCCGCCACAAACGATGGTATGGAACACTTGAGTACCGCTGCGTTACCCTTGATCACATATTCCATTAGAATATCGGCACCATAATATTGATTGACAACTAAAAGTGTGTAGGAGTGTGTAGAGAAATTATTTGAAAACTTGCAAAAATAGAGCAAAATAGCAAGAAAAGTAATAATATAGACTGGAACCATAGGAAAATGGAACATGTTAATTGGAATACGCACCAAGCCACCAAAAAATAAGAATGCATTTTTTATTGGGATATTTTCGTATTTATTTCTTGACAATAAATATATACCAAAATTATCGGTAGGTAGAAATTCTGCACCCTCACTGGACAACCAAGCTTCTACTTTGACAAAATCAGCTACAAAACTGGGTATGGTGCATTTTAAAACTGCTGTATTGCCTTTAATCACATACTCGGAAACGACTTCGGCTTCATAGTATTGATTGACGACTGAAAATTAACGAAATTTTCAAGATGGAGTATAGAAAGTAAAACATGTAAAGTGAGAGAAAATGTACACGGAAAGGAAAAAATATTGTAGAAAATTAAAAAAAAGTTCGAAGTGAAGTTGAAATATGAATGTGGATTGGGAAGTGAGGATATATTGCAGTAAAAAAGTTTAGACTCTTGTTGATAATCAACTATTCGATTATTGGAATGCCTAATAAAAGGACTGGGGGTCAATTCCCGTTCTGCGTTATCGTGAAGTGATAAAAAAAAACACTTTGACACCGCGTTTATTTCGGTGTGAATTTTTGACTTTCCACTTCACTCTCAGCTGTATCGTATAAATTCCACCAATAGCCTCATCAGAAAGAGTACTTTGCGTACGTGACGCTCAAGGATGAAACTGAGTTGACGTAAAAGAGCGTAGAACGGCCCCACAATGAAGGAGAAGTGTTTGTAAACAAAAATCAGCTGTTCTTTATGACCGCGTCTCGGAGTATACACAAGTCAATTTTGCAATACATTCACACTTTCTTACTTATATATTCACACTTCTTTCATTGTCTTCTTCACTCTCTTCCAACTTTCGAAGACAGTTTATTGTCTGGACGCCTACTTTACTCACACTATGTGAAAAATAATATATATTCTCAATTGTCTTGTTTTGTATAAACGCAAGGTAATATAACTGTCAGCAGTGCCGGACCTAATTGCGTCAAAAGTTGAGAGTTGGGCAACGTTCGTTGGGTCCAGCGAAGCATAGGTTGCCAATCTGACGCCCTATATGCAAACACACACAGTCTACTCAACTGTCAGTTGCATCCTTGAGAGTCACGTATGCAAAGTACTCATTCTGATGCATGGCGATTATTATATAAAAAAATAAAAATCACCAAGTAACGACCTGAATTTAAAAAATAAAAATTCAAACCTTACGGGTATTTTTTATCAAAAAAAAATTAAAATATAACGATTTTGCAATGATCTAAAAGTAAAAAAAATACTGATTTTTAACGGTTATTTCCGAACCCTGGTACTACGAGAACTTGTTTATTTAAACAAGCAACTTTTTCTATTCAAATAACCGCTTGATCGATCAACAAGAGCTAAACTAAACCACTAATTCCATTCGCCAAAGTTGTATTTTTTTGCACAAAAATTTTCTGAATACCAGTGCCCTTTTGCTCATCCAACGTTGCATACAATTCGCCGCTTTCGTCCTGCCATGAGATAACCTGCACGAAATCCGCAACAAAAGAGGGAATGGAGCACTTAAGCACAGCAGCGTTGCCACGTATTACATATTCATTATTCACTTCAGATTCGTAGAATTGTTGTACAACTATATTAAGAAGAAGATGCAAAAAAGCGCAACGATGAATGCAAGCACTTAACTCAAACTTGCATGTAACGGCAAAATTATGTATGAATGAATTTGCAACAACTCAATGGGAGTCAATAGGGCTATTCGCGATTCGGTGCATAAGAGCTGACAAATTTATGCAATTGCAGAAATATGCCATGGATTGTGAGCGAACTTTATTAAACTGTCATGGTAAAGCTTTTGCAAAACAATTTTTGTGCATCAGCTTTGGTTTTGTTTATGAATGCAATGCATAGCATTTTTATGCTATGGGTTTTCGGTATTGCAAATTTGCCAAGCAATGACAAATGCAAATGCGTGTATTTTGTTTGTGTATTGCAAATAATTTGCAATACAAATTTGCAATGCAATGATGCTAGGCCATTTGCACCGGATCGCGAATAGCCCTATTGTTTAATTACATAAAACAAGCCGACGCGACATTTACTGCAATGTTGTTGCCACTTTTGCGCCATGTTTAAGCGAAGCAAAAGTGCAGAAGGGGAAGAAGAAGAAAAACAAAACATGAATTTAACGCCAAAGTGTGGGAAAATGCAGTGAGGCGTATGAGTGCTTGGCGTGTTTACGCTCGCTGCTGCTACCAAATCTTTAAATTTTTCACATTTACCACGCCAAATTGAAATGAAAATCACGGTAATCGCTTACCGCGCAATTCGCTCGCTACCCCAAAAAGAATTCTAATAATTCTTGCCACCTTTCAGGCGGCATTGTCTTCGCCTATCTCTAGGTAATTTCGAATGCTAATGCTCGCGTGTGGCTACCGCTTCAATTAAGTATTAAATATTTATATAAATGGCAGTTCTAGACAAAGAATAATCAAGAAAGACAAGAATTGAGTGGAATTATAAGCGTCTTTAGTTTTCTAAGGAAGATTGTGGAAGTAAAATGATTTAAAGATTGCGTATAATGTTCAGTAAAAGACTATTTAAATGGGAAAGGTCAATAACTGATTAAAAATATAGTTAATTAAGTGGAAGTGTAGTGTGAAACAAAATTTAACGGAAGACTCGTTCCTATGAATAAATGAAATAAGTTTGTAATATGATTTTGAAATTT